GCGCCCTGGCCGCTGCCTGGCTTGGGGACAAGAGTTTCGAGAATCCACACGCAGAAATACGGCCCCGGCCAACAGGGTGCTGCTTCAGCTTAACTGCTTACTCCTACTTTAGTCCCACAGTGCACAGCACAGTGACCTCCTGACCCTCTTTGGCCCACGGCCACGCTCACCAGTCAGCCTCCCACTGCTGTCATTTGTGTCCCTTGGGCATTTATCTTGCTTTCTCCACATTTGCGGCTACTTTCGTATGAGGTCCCTTTAAGGCGCCTCTTCAGGTGTCCTTGGGAGCTCACACAGCGTGTGCACAAAAGTGAGCACAGATGTGCAATGCAAGAGCAAATGACTTCAAAACCCTCCTGTGATTTCCCACTTCCGGTTCCTCTGTGGGCACTTCTGTCATAAACCAGCTGCAAGCCTGGGTCTCCACACATGGATACGCCTGCGCTGTTCCTCCCGTCACTCAGCACCTGCCCCGTGCCGGGGGCCATTCCACACGGAACCCTCAAATCAGCCCTCTCCGGCAGGTCCTAGCTGGGTCCCACATGACCGATGAGCAGACTGAGGCCCGGATAAGGAAAGCACCCTGAGAAGCCAAGCTGGGATCTCAACCCCAGTCAATGCACTGTCCATACCCAGGGATGCCAGCTTTTCTCAGCTCACTTTTTAGGTGGTAAAGAGGCTCAGAAAACTTCCTCAAAGTCACACTGACCTGTGTGTGAAAGTTCACAGTTACATCAGGATAAGAGCAGGCTCAGACCCAAGACACTCACCCTCCAGATCCCCTTCCAGATGCTAACATAGGCTTAGGTGAAATGGAAGCCACGACCACAGAAGAATAAAGTTTAATGCTACCTTTGCTCTAAGCTCTGCTAGTCATTAATCTAATTAAAATCTAAACATACAGTCGCACTCAGCATGTTTTATCTTCCCAATCCTCTGTGGGTTTGATTTCTCCCCTACCTACAGGAGCGCCCTGCCTCCAAGCCTCTCTATACCGTGAAGCAGCAGCAGCAGCAGCAGCCTTAGCTGTAAGGTCCTGAGAGATGTGCAAATCCTGGGCCCCACTCTGAACCCACTGAGTGGGCCAACAAAACTGCCAGGTAACCGGTGTGCATGGCGAAGCTGAACAAGGCCAGGAGCCCAGAAAAGCTTTGCTATCAGCAATTATAAGATCAACTCTCCTTGCTGTATCTAAAGACAAGTTTGACTAGTAAATGCTGGAGTTTTTAGTAGAAAAATTCTGCCCAGAGACGCCGCCCCTCAAACAAGAACCACATATGTGGCCCACAGGGCAATGTCTCAGAAAGCCCATTTCCCAGCCAGGTGGAGAGGCCTGTGCCCATAATCCCAGCATTCCAGGAGGCTGGCACAAGGAAGGCACGTCTGAGCACTGCCTGGGCAACTTAGCAACTTAGCGGGACTGTCTCAGAATGAAAGATCTTAAAATGGGCTGGGGATGTAGCTCAGTGCAAAGGTCCTGGGTCCAATCCTCAGTATTAGAAGGCAAAAGAAAAAGAAGGAAGAAAAAGGAAGAAGAAAGGAAGGGAAGGAGGGAGGAAGGGAGGGAGAGAAAGAAGTGGAGAAAAGAAGGAATCCAAGCACATTTTCTAGCTGGGATTCTGCCTCAATCCGGAACCCCCAGCCCCTTGCGCCCAACCCCCAGCATCGCCTGCCAGGTTGGTCTCCCACCCTCTCCCTGCAACTGTTCTGGGCCTGTAACTCCCAGAGCTGCAGGAAGGATGTTGTGGGTTTATCCAAAAATTTGAAAAGAAAAAAAGTGGCTAAATGACTAGAGAATAAAATTGATGTTCTGCCACATGGAAAAACCCACCCCAAAATGAGGTAATGGGGGAATAGCCATGAACCTTAGGGGCTGTCCATAAACTCAACCTAGGATGGGTTTGAAAATGTCCTTATAAAGCCACATCGGACACCCCACTGGAGACTTCTCGGTGGCCGGGCTGTGTGTGGTATGGGGCTGAGACCAGAATCGTGGAATCCTGGGTCACAGGAAGGTCAGAGCATTTCAGTCCCCAGCCAAATCTCCAGTTGTCATGGGAGGAGGTGCTCAGAAAGGGACCCCCGGCTGCAAGGGAGAGCTGGGCCTGGGAAAGCCACGTGCCTCCTCCAGAGGTGGACGGTACTCAGCTCTTCCGGGGCCTGCTGGAATTTCAATAGCTTGTCCACACAGTACAGATGGGAATTTAATAATTAATGAGGGAATAGTTCACCCCAGAGCCCATGCAGGGGGATTATGCAAATCCACCAAGACTGCGGCAGGGGGCTGAATATTTTATAGTGTGTTTAATTTGCAAACATTACCCACTGAGAAGGCTTAGGCAGGAAACTATCATAATAATAATTATTATTACTCATGCAAAACTACTTGAGCTTTTATCAAGCCTTCATCCTTTCAACTGCTTTCACCAGACACTTTCCCCCCAGAAATGTAATTTTTTTTTAATGAAAAACCAGAGTGAAATGCAAAAACATGTGAAGAATGAAATGCACCTGCCTGGATAAAATAAAAACCTAACCTGTCTTCTACCTTTGGCCCAGCCTAGAACTCTTTTACTACCCAAATATTTTCCGTGCTGATGATTTCCACTCGCACACCCTCTGGGCACCAGCTGAGCTGAGGAGCAGAATATTAAAAGACAGAAATGCGTTTCCCTCTCTGCGCTCTGCACGTAACTTAAGGCATTAATTAAGCCACCCACCAATTCCATCAGCACCCCCACATCCTTCCAGCAACTCTTCTTTGCTTAAATAGCTGAGCAGTTTCCTATGCCTCCCCATAAGAACCCCAACTGCTCTAGCTTGGGTGGATCCTGGAAACCAGAGTCACACACCTCAGGAGCTCCTCGCTAACTCTGCTCTGCCCCGACTGATGACACGGGTTGAAAACTCAATCACCCAGAATAGGGTTGGCAGCTTTTGCGATAAAGGGCCAGACAGCAGGTATTGTAGGCTTTTGGGCTATGTGGTCTCTGCTGCAGCTTCCTAGTTCTACCGCGTGGCACAAAAGAAGCCCCAGCCAGTACGTCATCAAATAGGCATGGCTGTGTTCCAATAAAGCTTTATTTACAAAAACAGATGGTGGACCGGATTTGGCTGCCACTCAAGCCTTCTGTCAGTTGATAGTCTGCAGTTTTTAAACACTTCGTGCAATTTTATTCTTTTTTTTTTTTAAATCACCCTTTGATTCTGAATAAATGCATATACAGACTTAAATGCATTCGTTTAGGCCATGGGTTCTCAGTGGGGACATTTTGGTCCCCAAGGGGACATTTGGCAATATCTAGAGACTGGGGTCATCACTAAGGGTGTGGAAACTGTGTGTTCAAATGCAGTGCTGAGCTTACGAGAGCTTCAGATGCTAGGAATGTAACCCAGGGCTTCATGCATGCTGGGCAAGCACCTTACCACTGAATTACATCCCCAGCCCTCTGTCTTGATATTCTTTTTTTGTTGTTGTTGTTGTTTTGTTTTGTTTTGTTTTTCTCCGGTACCGGGAACCGAACTCACGACCTTGTGCTTGCCAGGCAGGCGCTTTGCCGCTGAGCTAAATCCCCAGCCCCTGTCTTGATATTCTTAATAAACTTTTGTCCATCGGGTTCCATATTTTTATTTTTGCACTCATCCCCATAGCTCACATTGCCCATCCTGCTAAAGACATAAAACCCTGAAAGTCTATTGCGACTCTGGAGGTGCCACCGTAGAGGGGAGGGGGTGCCACACCCACCACGCACAGGGGACTCCAGGGGACTCCCTCCTAACACAACAAAGAATTGCCAAAATGCCATCAGTGCCGAGGCTGAGGGACCTGGGTTAGGCTCAGTGAAAATGGCAAGAATCGGTCATTGCTGACGTACAGATCCAGCCACTTCATATCTTTGTGAGACATAAAAATATTTACAACCCAGGAAGATAATCAATGCTTGATCTAAGCATTTCTGATTTAGCTTTGCTCACCACAATAAATGCCGTGACTTCTGCCCCTATTTCTATACTCGTGGATTGATCTTTCCATTATTTTGTCTAAATAAGTAAAGCATGCAAATAGCACAAATCTGACTCAGAAACAAACACGGCACAAGTCAGTCTCCCACCTACCCCATTCCCAGTTTTTGCTCTTGTCCCCAGATCAATTCTATTGATCATTCCCTCCTTGGTCTCCCACAAATATTTTGTAGATGGAGAAATTATATGCATATGCTCTTATTTTCTTTTACACATCCACCCAGGATGCTCACAAAAGACCCCTGCACCTGGCCCCTCCCTGCTCTGCTCCCCATTTCTCCAGGGCCACCTACTTCCCAAGAAGGGTTCCAATCACCCCCTGGGGTCTTCTGTTTCAGGAACTTCGCCTTCTGGAACTAACACAAGAGAGCTCTCTGCTCCCACCCTTTGGAAGTCCCTGGCTGAAAAAAAGTCACATTCCCTCTTCCCGTTCCAAATTTCTCTCCTTCAGTGCTCTTTGTCACTTCTCTATTTAAAGTATCACTTCTCTATTTAAAGTCCGCTGAGACCCAGAGTCCAGTGAACAAAGTCACAAGCTCTTGCCATGGCTCTGGCATTGGCTGCTCCCTCCCCCGTTTCCATCCCAAGGAGAGCAGGGCAGAGGCAGTTTGATGTTGGAGCCGCTAAGTTCCCCGTTTGGGTTCTCAAGACCAAAGGAAGGGCCGCCCCTCTCCCGAGTGAGCGTGAGTGTGTGTGTGACGCGCACGTGCTCCTACATTGTGCACGCCGCCCATAAATTAAAAAGAGGAAAAAAATAAGCAAGTCACCCAGAAAAGCACAAGCAGGCCGAGAGCATCAATTCAAGACAGTGATCAATTATTTAGAGGTATTTACACACTATCTTGATTCGAGGGCAACATCTCCGGTTGGGAGAAGGGCAAGCGTGTGGGAAAATGTGCCTTGGACCCCAGCCGCGGCAGACGGCAGCTGGGGAGCGGCAGATCCCTAGAGGTCTGCGCTTCTTTTCCTTCTTGGCCCTTCCAGTGCACAGTGGCTGTGCTTCATCTCCCAGGAGGAAAGCTACAGGATCGCAAAATTCCCCCAACTCTCCAAAGCGGGGAGAAGGAGACACAGGGGCCGCTGCACCCACTGCTTGAGGTTGGGGTGACAGCCTGGGGTAGACGGGGGAAGCGCAGTCTCGGGGCCTGCAGGGGTGGCTCTCCTCCCCGTAGGCGTGGCTGTCATTGCCCTCAAGGTGCGCGAGCTGGGAAGGTGCTTCCCTGTCCAGCAGGGAAGGCAGGAGAGGGGCGCTGTCACCTGCTGCAGCCGACCTTTCTGCCTCCCGGTGCTGCTGCCGCACGGACTGCTGGGAATATTCGCCCCTCCTCCTTCCCGCCTCCTCGAGATGGCAGGGGCCGGAAGGCAGGCTGCAGGCTAAGGTGGGCAAAAGAACAGCAAACAGGATTTGGAATGGAGTCCGAGTCTCAAGTCCAAGTTCCCGGACTCCCTGTGTTAGGACCGCCTGCGTGCTTTATTTTAATTTTTTAGTGAAATGTACACAAATTAAAACGGACCACTTAAACTTACTCAGTAATGTAAATACATTCATACAGTGACACAGCCATCTCCACCACCCACTTCCGGAAGTTTCTTATTCCCAACTGAAACTGCATCGTTAAACATTAACTCTCCATTTTCCAGCCCCCAGCCCCTGGCAACCACTCTTCTTTCTGTCTCCACGCATTTGACTACTCTAGGTACCTCATGGAAGTGAGATCACATAATTCTTGTCTTGTTGTGGTTGGCTTATTTTGCTTATCATGATGTCATCAAGGTTCATCCATGTTATAGCATGTGTCAGAATTTCCTTCCTTTTTATGGCTGAGTAGTATTCTATTGCATACACATACCACATTATGTTTGTCCATTCATTCACCCGTTGGTGGGCACAGGTTCCTTCCACCTTTTGGCTACTGTGAATAGTGTTTTCTACAAAGGTGGGTGTATGAAATCTATTGGAGCTATGCAGCTATATATATTCCCAAACTCTAGGTTGGAATATTCTGTCTCAGTAGCTCTGGAGTGAGACCAGGGCAACTTTTTAACAGGACCCCCCAGGCTGATCCTAAGGCCAGACCAAGGGTTGGAAACCAGGACCCAGATTCCTGAACAAACTGTGCTGACCCTGGGAGGTGGTCTTCCTCACAGACCCTTCGTACTCAGGCAGGGACATGTGCCAGCTGAGCAGAAGGCTTGGGCTCAAGTGCCACTCCATCTTCTGAACGCGTCTCTCCCAAATCCCTCCGCTGGTGGAGACAGGAAGAACAGCTTCCACTGTAAAGTCAGCTCCCAGGTGTGAACCAGCCAGGTCTGGTCTGATTTTCTCGTGCACAATAAAGAAACTGAGGCGCAAGCACCAGAATGCAAGCTGATCTCACCGACCCGAAGACCTTGCTCCTTCACCGGTGGATAGCACTGCTGTGATTCCACGAAGCCCCTAGCAGCACTCCCGGGTGGCTCCGCGTGACCTCTGACACAGGGACACATGGTAAGAGTAGGGATACAGGCTTCAGTCCGGGCGGGGCCCCAGTGTGAAAGGGCGGCTCCCGGAAGAGTGGGCTCTTTTCTCTCTCCGCAGCTTGGAAAGCATCAGTACGGTCTGCTTTCATCAGTTTCCTGATCTTTAAGAGGAGACATACAAGAAAGACGGATGGAGCCCTGGAAATGCTCCCTGGGATTAATTACATTCCCACCACGTGATCTCAGGGCCCTGCCCCTGGGTCTCTCTATAAAGGACCTCACTGCATCTTCCTCTCAGCCTCTCAAAGAAGATCCTCTCCACTGCACAAGTAAAAATAAAGCTAGGTGTGGTGTGCACACTTGTAGTCCCAGCACTCTGGGAGGCTGAGGCAGGAGAGTGACAAGTCCAAGCCCAGTCTGGGCAACTTAGCACATTTTTTTTTTTTTTTTTAATTTTTAAGGGCTGGGGATATAGCTCAATGAGAAAGCCCTGGGTTCAATTCCCAGTGTACCACAAAAAGAAGAAGGAAAAGGAGGAGCAGGCAGAGGAGAGAAAAAGAGAAGGAGGAGAAGAAGGAGAAGGAGGAAGAAAAGAAGGAGGGGGAAAAGGAGGAGGAAGAAAAGGAAAAAAGGAAAAGGAGGAGTGGAGAAGGAAAAAGAAGAAAAACTGAGATGGGAGGGAGGGAGGTCTGAAAAGCTCCACCATCTGTCTGTGGTCTTCCATGCTTGCAAGGCCAGAGCTAAGATTTGCCTCAGACCCTGGAGCCGGCGTGCGGCGCCCTCCCCACTGTCCTGTCCCCGCCCCCACCCCCCTGAGTCAAAGCACCTCACAAACCGAAAAAGCTTAAAACAGCCAGTCTGGGACATGGCGCGGTGCAGTTCCCAGGCTAAGAAAGTTGCCCCCTTGGGAACTTCCTGCTCACCTTCTCGTGTGCTCCAGCCCGTGCAGTGTCGACGGGAGCGCCACGGAGAGCAGGCTCTGCGTAAGGAAGCCCTCCGCGCGTGTCCGAGCTCCTGCAGCCTGTCACGGTGTGGTTTCTCGGGGAGCCTTACGCTGAACCCATCACGCTGCCCAGCCCGTGCCCCTTCTTCGCGAGCCACCCCAGTCAGTTACTGCTGGGTGAGTGGACAGACGGACGCACACTCCTCGTGGATCTCGACCTGGGTGACTCTGCACGCGCCCGGGTTTCCCAAAGAAACAACCATACCGCGCAGCTGGGCCTCCGTGCTGAGATGACCCCCTGTCTGTAGATTCAATCAATGCTGATTAAAAATATTCAGGAAAAAACTGCATTTGTACTGAATATGTGAATTTTTCTTACCATTATTCCCAAAACAATGTAGATAAGAACATTTTTTTTTTGGTCTTTTTGAAACAGGGTCTGCTATGCAGTTCAGACTGACCTTGAGCTCACTTTGTAGCCCAGGTTGGTCTTGAACTCGAAGTGATCCTCCTGCCTCAGCCTCCCTTGTGCTGGGATTACAGGCATGCGCCAACACGCCCAGCTTGATAACAACTTCTCACATAGCATTTCCATCCTGTTAGTGTGTCAGTCCTCTGGGGAAGATTTACATGAGGATAAAGTTCCGTTGCACACAAATGCTACTCCACTTTACATGTGGGACTTGAGCAGCTCAAATTTTGATTCCCTTGAAGGTCTCAGAAGCAGTCCTCCATGGATACTGAGGGACAACTGTACATTTAGAGAGAGATTTATTTTAAGAAATAGAAGCTGCTCTTGCTCTCATCGTGGGGGTGGGATTATGTTTCACGCTTGAGACAGAATTTCTTCTTCCTTGGGAAACCTCAGTCTCTGCTCTTAAGGCCTTGAACCAGTTGGATGAGATCCGGCCACGTTACGGGGGGACCTGCTCTGCTGCAAGCCAAGGGACTGTAACACTTTATCCCATTTACAGCTGACCTTCCCAGAAACATCTAGGACGTGTGTTCGACCAAACTGGGCTCCAGCACCCAGCCAAGTGGACACGTAAAATTGCCCATCCAAACTGCACCACTCCCAAATCTCAAACTTATCAAAATGCCAAACACTCTGGGTACTGCTAACAGGGAGGGAAAGAAAAACATTAAAGACCGACAAGTGTTAGTAATAACATGACTTTGGACTTGCAATCACAAGGTCTAGAGTTGGGGTAGGCTGTTACTATTTCTATTCTGCTTGCTTACAGAAAATATTTAAGGAATCAGAGTCAAGAACAAAACTCTAAAAAGTGTCAAGGGAATTACAATTTTTGAACTTCACTAAGTGTTCACTCCAGTGAGTAATAAAATTAGATGTCGCCATATCTCTACATCATTGAATTTGAGAAATTATGAAGGCTCCCAGATTGGAAGCCACTGTTTTATGTAAAAGGAACCCAGGCCCAGGGAGACGAATTAATTTACTGAAGTTCACGTCCTAATAAGCCCTGTACTTTGGCTTCTTTCCCACCAGGTCATGAACTCAAATTAACTCAACCTTTATTGGGTACCAACCACATGTGAGGCTTGCCGCTAGGTGTTGGGACACTGGACAGGCACTGTCGAGGCACATGAAGCCATTTAATCGTGACCGCAGTGCTGAGTTATGCACTGTTATATCCCTGTTTTACCAGAGAAACACGAACGCACAGAGAACAGAAGTCATTCACCTGAGCTCACAGAACTACGGGGCCAGGTTACTGGAATTCGCACCCCCAACTACAGGCCCCTGAGGGTGTATCTTTGTCCAGTGCATCAGACTGCTTCTGGGGGAGATAAAAGTATAACCACGAGGTTTCTGTTTGTATTTTTTTTAATGGATTTGGAGGGGTGGTGTTAGACAGGAGTCTTAGGGGCTGCCTGGGAATTATATAGCTAAGAAATGGGGGAAGGATGAACAGACTCAGATTTTTGAAGGACCTGAAGCTAACAAAATTTGAGGGCCCTCTACTAAAACACAAAATTTGGTGCAAAAATGAATACCTACTTAGAATAAGAAAAAAATTCAATAAATGACAAATTTTTTAAAAGTTGATCACAAATATTGCACTACCCAGAAAAACCACTTAATCTTTGTGTTAAGTGACTGCTCACAATGTTTCTGTGCTCACGTATTTATCCCGTACCCTCTTTGATCACCTCTTCCTGTGATAAGATGATATTTGATCAGCCAGGCGTGGTGGCACACACCTGTAATCCCAGCACTC